GAGTGACATCTTAGTCAAGGAACTGACAGCAGATGTGAAATGAGCTGCTTGATATAGGGGCAGCTGCTCAGAAGACAAGAGGGTCTGAAATAGGCGATGTGCTCGGGTGTGAACGCTGAGATGTAGTTCATGTTCCTTTAGCCCTGTCTGGCAGTGGAAAGACTCTTGCCTCACTTTGGCCCTGGGGTTTTAGCATGAGGAAATGGCAGGCCCTCTGCTCTGGAGGCTAGGTCATTTGGGGTGGCCTTCCTCTTTGCCTCTCTCTCCCTCCAACCCCAGCAAGGAGGTAATGGTCAGGTGGTTCATCCCTGGCTAATGGGAATGGATCTTAAGGGGCAGCCTTTGGCTCAGGCACCGATCTGGAGTCCAGGACCGGTTTCAGGAAAGCTGGTCTTCACCGAGGCTTTGCTCAGGCACTGTGCTACGTGCTCTTCATGTGACTTCATGTGTTAGTTCATTGAATCCTCACAACTGCATGGGTTGAGGTGCTATTATCATTCTCAATTTAGAAATGGGGCAACTGAAGTTCAGAGAGGGTAAGTGACTTTCCCAAAGTCATCCAGCTAGCAAGCCACAAAGTCTGGACTGACATCCTTGTCTGGGAACCTGTGCCCCTTAAATACCTCTGTCCTAGCTCACTTTCAAGTTGAATTCAGAGCCATATTAAGAAGCACCTGAAGTTGCTCTTCTCAGAAGCAGACAGCAGGAGGCAATGTAACGGGCAGGCATTTGAAGTCTGGCCCTCCTCCAGGGAAATCATCATCCAGAAAGCATCTAAAGAATGTTTGATTTTATCCTCTAAGTGGAAAAGACAGCAAAAACTATGACGAGTGCCAGTCCGTGGTTACAGCCAGGTCTGTCCTGGATTCCATTCTGTGTTTCGTCAAAACCTCTTGTACCCACCTATCCAAACGGACTCCCTGCCTACAACCCTTAAGTGGATAAAAAAAAAAAGTATTTCCTGCTCTGGTTTTGTTTTAGCTAACAATGGTTGAGGGCCCACTGAGAATGCTGCTGGAATGCTGCCAGGAATGCTGCTGATCTTTCAAGACCAGTTCATACTCCCCACTTCATTCTTTCACTCATTCGTTCATTCAATGTACTAAAAGCCAGAGACTATGCCAGGTGTTTTACAGACATTAAATAATTCGATCTTCACAACAATGTTCTAGGACTACTGATTCTCATGTTTCAAAGGAGAAAACTGAGACTCAGAGGAGAAGTTGCTCAAGTACTGGTGAGTTCCTGGGAACAAGATTCTAACAGCTGTGACCTAATCCCTGCCAAGAGGAAAGGTTTTATGGCAAAAACAGAGCCTTGAGTGGTAACAGAGAACCTTCCCTCACCACAAGGTCAGGTTGACCAGTGTGTGTGACATTAGGATCAATGAGGGGGGCCTCAGACCCCTCCCCTTCAATCCAGGACCAGGACTGGATTGAAGGGGAACATGGAGAAGGACAGGAAGTTAAGGAGGACAGCTTATAGTCTTCAGCCTTTGTCCCTCCTTGGTCTCAGGTGACATGAGGATCTGTCCCTCTTCCCCCATCCTGTAGTATCAGACCCAACTCCAAGTTATCTGGCTCAGAAGGAAACCCACACAACCAAGCCCTCCTCCCCGTCCTGAATCACAGATGGGAAAACTGAGACCTCTTCCCACACCTCTTCCTGCAAAGTTCAGGATGAAGATCCAGTTCTCCTGACTTCGATCCCGTGCCCTCTCCACACTTCCTCCCTGGAAATCTTTCCCAAGGAGCACTGACAACCTGCGGCAGGGGAGCAGGAAATGGGCCTTGGTGGTGGAAATGCACTTGGAACCCACCTGGGTTTGGCCCAGCCTGCCACTCACCAGCAGTGAGTCAGGAAGGTCACTCACTTGAGTCCTTATCTGTACAGTGAGTACAGTAACGGCAGCCTCACCGGGCTGCTGAGAGCTTCCGTGAATAATACGGACACACGAAGCGTCTGGAACGCGGTGCGCGCTCAGTCAACTTTAAGCCCAACTAGTTGTCCCCAAAGAACTGATGTGGAGAAAGAACCCAGCGCCCCTCCCTTCATCCCTCTCCCACACAAAGGGCAGAATGAAAGAATATTAGAAAACAGGTACAGGTAAATATGGAATTCTGGGAGAGAAACGTTTCTTTCCATATTTGCCAGCTGTTTGATAACCCAGCCTGGACAAAGGGAAATCAATACTGTGGAGAACAAATGGGAAGGTTGTTGATTTGGGGTATCACTCACTATTTTCCCAGTGACCCCGAACTTGACCTTCCCCAAACAGTCATTTGACCAACGGGCTTCTTCAAGAGACCCGGGTTTGTGGGTCTCCCAGGAAGGGCAAAGTAGGGCGGGGCTGGGGAAGGCAGATGGCTAGCACTTGGGGACCCTCCCCCTGGCCGCCCCACCGCCCGGCGGCGCGGACTACAGCTCCCAACATGCCCCGCGCGCAGTACCTGCCCGCCTCCAGCCGCCGGGAACCGGGAGGATGCAGACGCCAGGGCCAGCGATGAGGATGGAGGCCCGGGAGGCTGTGCCGCCGGCGGGGGCGGGCGGCCGCGCTGCTGGCGGCTGGAGCAAGTGGGTGCGGCTCAACGTGGGGGGCACGGTGTTCCTGACCACCCGGCAGACGCTGTGCCGGGAGCAGAAGTCCTTCCTCAGCCGCCTGTGCCAGGGCGAAGAGCTGCAGTCGGACCGGGTGAGGCCCGCGGGGTGGGCAGTGTGGGGCTAGGGGTCCTCCGTTCGCTGGAGTCGGGCTGTACGGGCTGTACGGTCTGGCCCGCCCGCCAGGCTGGGAACTCGGCTGGTTTTATTTCTAAAGAGCCGGAGGCGGGAAGAACTGGCTAGAGGATGGGGGGAGGAGGAAGTGGATCCGTGAGTGAGGAATGTGCCCATCGCCTTGGCAACGGGACAACGCCAGGCCGCGGCCATTTGGAGCTTCTGAGTTCTCCCTGGGCTCCCACCCCAGGAGGCTGGTGAATTGAATCCTACTCTCCCCCGTCCTTTGGGGCGGTGGGGACAGACAGACACTTCGGGCCTTCGTCCTTCCCAAACGGGACCTCTCACTGGGAAAGGTGTGGCTGAGGCACCTTCTTCCTGCCCTTTGGGGTGTGGGTGGCCTCGGTGTGCAGGGAGCTGGGTGGAGAAGGCCTAGGGTGCCTCTTGAACTGGAAGGGGTGCCGGCCTGGCAGGTACCAGGTCTGGGGACCATCCCGGCTCTGCTGTAAACTGTTGGGTGACCTTAGATGGGACCCTCCCCTGCTCCAGGCTCAGCCTCCTGTCTGTAACCAGAGGAGGCTGATCTGGAGATGACTTCCAAGACTCCCTCTCCCCCAGTTCCTCACCATCTGATGCTGTGACCTTGGGCAAGTCCCCTCCCCTCCTGAGTCTCCCTATTGTCTCTGTGGAGCTGAGCTGCTGCCCGCCCAGCGTCCCTGCCAAGCGTCCCTGCGGGCTGAGGGCGTCGGAGGAAAGCGGCTCCTTTGCAAACCTGCAAACGTCCCCAGAATGACTGGGGATCTGGTGCAGACACTAGGGCTGGCTTCGGGGGCACAAGCTCTGAGAGGGACAGTCACGGAGCCCTCCTTTGGGTCAGGCGCTACTGAGACCCCACTGGATGCTTCCTGGATGCTCACAGTGACCCCTAGTTGTGGGGGAGAGGAGTCAGGCTCAGAGGACAAATCACTGGCTTAGGATCACAGTCAGGAAAAAGCAGAGGCGGGATTTGAACTGAGGTGTATCTGACCCCAAGTCCCTTTTGCTCCATCATGCCACTTCATTCCAGAGAAGAACAAACTTTACGCTCGCTCTGTCTCTCCCATTGGAGGTTTTACCTGACCTGAATGAAGGGGTGGGCAGGGGAAGGCCTCGTTCTTCTCACAGTCTGTGCCCCTCCCCCCCATAGGATGAGACCGGGGCCTACCTCATCGACCGCGATCCCACCTACTTCGGGCCCATCCTGAACTTCCTCCGTCATGGCAAACTGGTGCTGGACAAGGACATGGCTGAGGAGGGTGAGTTGGTCCAGGAAGCTAGCCAGGCCCACATCCTAGCCCTGGCCTCTGCAGCCTGCCAGGCCTTCTGTGGGGGTCTAAAGCCATTTCTCCCAGCCAGGAGGGACATCTGCTTTCTTCCGTGTTCCCTGCTTCTTCTTATCCATGACAGGGCTGAATCCCAAAGCCTCCGCCCAGGCTGAGCCCAGGGGCTCTGCCAAGCTGACCGGTCTGAGCTTTCACTGGGTACTGTTGGAAAGGTGATGGAAATACACAGGCAGAGGTTAGGGGAGCTAGAGAGACAGGCAGTCTCCATGTGGGCCGGGGTGTCCTTTTTCCTGGCCTCCTGGGAAACCAGGGGTGAACAGGGTGGAGCCGGGCAGGCTTTATCTGGCATCTCAGATGCCTGGTGAGGGCTTGCAGTCAGCAGGTAGGTGGAACAGGTGCCTCTTCCCCAAATCCGGCAGCCTCTGCAGCACAGTGCTGGTTGTGGGTGGAGGCAGGGAAGGAGGGAGCCTGCTCCCCAGGGAGCTTTGACCGTCATAGGCCTGGGTGGCTAAGGCCCTATAGATGCCCACTTTGGGGCCCAGCAGATGGTGGGGAAACTATGCCTGGGGGGGGATGGCATCTTGGCAGAGCTCCAGCCAGGGGCAGGGCCTATAGTCAGTGCCAAGTCAACTCTTCACTGGGGCACAGGGTGTGGCTCTGGGTCAGTGAGCCCGGCCAGGCTAGCTTGGCTATATCACTTCTTTCTGAGCCTCCACGTGTATGTACAGTAGGGGTGGCGATCTACACCATGGAGAGCGTATCTTGTGACAATAAATGTTATGAGTCCCGGCACTTATACTCTGTGGGTGTCTAGCATAGCCCATCCCTCCTCACTGTGGCCTACGGTCCCCCTAGTGGGTCCCCAGTGGGCCAGGACTT